GCGTACACGTCTATCTTCTCCGACAGAATCCCTGACCGAATGTACTCGAGCGCCATGTACCCGATTGTTCCCGCCATGTGCGAGGTCTTTACCACGGTCTCGTTTCTGTCCCGAACACCCTCTCTCCGATGGTCGCCAGACCGAAGTCCGCTACAACGACCCGCAGCTTCTTCCCAGCGCCATCGCCGAGAAGGACGTTGCTGCTCTTGATGTCCCGGTGGATGATCGGGGGGTCGGCACCATCGTGAAGGTAGGCCAACCCCTTGGCGATCTGCAAGGCGATGCACAATCGCTCCATCAGCGTCAGAGGCGGGAGAAGGGGTCTACCGGGCACAGCTGTCTCTCTTTTGTGAAGGCGAGCGTACAGACTGCCGCCCGGGAAGTAGGGGTAGACCAAGATGGAACGATTTCCCTCGTCGCAGTATCCAATCAATTGCACGAGGTTGGCGTGATGGAGTCTGCTCAGCGCGTTCACCTCGGTAATGAACATGCGGCGCTTGGCCGGAGTAAGTTCGCCCGACATCAGCTTGATTGCCACTTGCTGATTTGTGCCGATCGATCCCCAGTAAACGTCGCCGAAAGCCCCGCTGTCCCCAATCCGATAGCTTTGGCTGAAATCATTGGTGCAGTGAGAAAGCGCTGCCAGCGAGAATCGCTTAACCTGGATCGACTGAGGCTCCTCGATCCCATGTTGAAGAGCTCCTGACCCCGATGGCGCGGAAGTGGTGGTCGTTGCTGTTATAGGTACTTCTATGCAATTATCGGGTGCAGGGCTGGACACTGGTAATTCTGTGCTATTACGGGGTGCAGATCTGGACCGTCTGTTAAGCCCGGCTTTGCGGCGGGCTTTGCAAGCCAGGACACCCAGGGAGGCGAGAGTGCAAATAAGCGCAAGAGAGGAGAGGGGCACCCCGACAATGAGCCCAAGATTGCGAGAGTGCTTTTCGGAGACTCGACTGGCCGTTCGCAATGGAGGAGGGGGGATTCTGGACCCTTGCTTACGGAATGAGGAGGTGGGACTCACGTTCGATCGCGTGGTCGCGGAGACGTTGCGCTTGGCAAGCAAATGCGTCGTAGAGGAGCACGATTCACGGCCGAAGATGAGCTTATTAGCCACGACGATCGACAGTCTGATTAACGATGCGAAAATAGGTTGAGGATACAACTGGCGATGGTGTCGAGTTATGGACGGGGGAGAAGAGGCGGCGCCCTCTCTCCCGCCTCTGACGCTGATGGAACGATTGTGCATCGCCTTGCTTCACGACGGTGCCGACCCCCCGATCATCCACCGGGACATCAAGAGCAGCAACGTCCTTCTTGGCAATGGCGCCGGGAAGAAGCTGAGGGTCGTTGTAGCGGACTTCGGTCTGGCAACCATCGGAGAGAGGGTGTTCGGCGCAGAGCACGAGACGATGGTGAAGACCTCGCACATGGCGGGAACTTTCGGGTACATGGCGCCAGAGTACATGCTGTCCGGGATTTTGTCGGAGAAGATCGACGTGTACGCCTTCGGCGTGATCCTACTGGAGCTGCTGACGGGGAGAAAGGCGGTGTCCGCAAATCCGTCGGGAATGGGTTGGCAGACGCTTGCGGACTGGGCGAAACCCCTCCTGGAAAGTGCCAACGGTGTTGAAGTAGGGATGACCCTACCCCTGTCGGAGATGCGTGGCATTTTGCAGATCCGTTACATGCCATCTTCGTAATCCGAAAAAAAGAAAACGAAAAAAAAAAGGGAGAGGGAGATAAACTCCCTCCCCGTGCGCGATCTCAGTTCATACATGGCAATCACGACCTTCCCCCACGTCGCTTTTTTGAGTTTCGTCGCATTTACAAGGAGAAAAATAAAGAAAAAAAAACGGGAGAAGGAGATCAACCCCCTCCCCTATGCGATCTGAGTTCATACATGGCAATTACGACCTTTCCCACATGCCTTTTTTCAGTTCCGCATTTTTCGCAATTACAAATATGACAAAACAAAAGGGAGAGGGAAATCAACCCCCCTCCCTGTGCGATAACAGTTCAGATGTGTCGAGTGTGACTGTTTTCCGCGTGGCATTTTGCAGTTTCGTTACATGCCATCTTCSTAATCCAAAAACAAAACGGAAAACAAAAAGGAGAGGGAGATAAACTCCCTTCCCCGCATGGCATTTTTTATTTTGTCGCATTTGTAAGGAGAACAAAAAAGAAAAAAGAACCGGAGAGGGAGATCAACACCCTCCCCTATGTATTGTCGCATTTTAATGGGAAAAAAAAAAAAAAAA